GGGATTCAGGGACGTCCCTGGATAATTCCAGCAGTTCATTTTCCCTCCCTCCTTGGTTTTTTTCTCTACCTCAGGTTCTGCAAATTCCCACCTGAACATTTCAGCAGCTGCCTAAACCACTTTGTGCTCAGCTCATCCACACCCTGTGCCCTCCCTGGTCCCATGGCATCACAGCCAGCATGTTTTGGGACCTGTGGGGTGACAACTCCATTAATTTCTCCCTGTCCTCACCTGAAATCCAATCCTTCCTCACCTGCTGGGACTGGGAATATGTCCTTGGGATGCCTTTTCCTTCAGGCCCTTCTCCAAATGATCTCTTTGGGCTTTGCATCCCCACCCCCCCTTGTGCAGTGCCTGCTTGTTGTTCTTGTTGTTTAATGTTCCTTTTTGTTTTTTTTTCTTTTTTTTTTTAAAGAAAAAAAGACTTTTGGAAAAAGAATATTCCAATTAAAGCTGTTACTATTCCAGTGCTCCCAGTTAGATGTCATCTGCTGGTGTCTCTTCATCCCAAAGCAGCCTGGATACCTGGGAGTCATTTGGTGGGTTTTCCACTCAATCCCTTCCCCTTCCCACCCTCTCCAGGGGAAAGTTGCTGGAACCCATCTCACCTCCCAGGCTGCTGCTTTTGGTCGAGCTCTGGGTAAGAAAATTCCTGGTTGTTTTGGCACAGAGATGTTTTCCTGATTGGAGAGAACATCCCTGTGTCTGGCCAAGGCAGTTGTGGTGCTCCTGCTTCCAATGGAGGTCAGATCCCAAGCCATGGAAGTGAAATATGTGGGATTCTGGCTGTGGCTTCAGCTTGCCAAAGGTGAGGAAGTGATGGTCGATGGATTCCTGACCCCACAGGAGGCACGAGCCCTACAGCATCCCAAAGAATAACAGGGAAGTAACAGCCTCACTCCATGCTGGGAGTGACACTGGTTGTGGTTTCTCCTTCCTTCCACTGCCCATCCCTGAATCATCCCATCCCCCTCCTGCCTTGCTGAAATCATCTCCCCACCCCACCAAGGAGTTGGGAGTAATCCTGCCCTGCTCTGATTACCCCCACTGAGCAGTAATTAAAGCTTCCAGCTGTGTGGCCTCATCCGGCACAAAGGGACAAACTGGGGTGCAGTTTGGTCCCTCACTGGGACAAGGAGCTGGAGAGGGATGTTTGGGAACAGTCACAGCTTGCTTGGATCTGCCCCAGCAAAGCAGGGACCATGTCCCCCCCTCCCCGAGGTAATCCAGGCTGGGAGCATTCCCAGGGAAAACAATCTGCTCCCTTTGTTCAGGCTGGTTTAACCTGTGCTCCAAAAGCAGAGCTGGGGGGATCTGGGATTTGCTTGATGATTTGCTTTTATCATCCTAAGGAATCAGATCCAATGGAACCTTTAACCTTCCCCTTAATAGGGAGGGAATTGCTGCCAGGAGCACTTGCAGGGACCTGTCAGAGCAGAATTGGGTGACAGTGGCCTTTAGAGGGAGGTGGGACCTTCTCCCTGACAGGAGGGGAGAGCTGGGGGGGGTCGGGCTCTGCCCCAAGGGAACAAGGGACAGGATGAGAGGAAACGGCCTCAAGTTGCACCAGGGAAGATCCAGGTTGGATATCAGGGAAAATTTCCTCACTGGAAGGGTGGTCAGGCACTGGAAGGGGCTGCCCAGGCCGGAGGTGGAGTCGCATCCCTGGAAGTGGCACTGGGGACATGGTTTAATGCTGAACACGGTGGTGGGGGGTTAATGGTCCATCTTGGAGAGCTTTTCCATCCTTAACAATTCCATATGTTTCACTGGGCTTTAAAGGCTAAAGCTGGAGCTCTTTGCTCCTCTCCAGGCTCAGCTGAGCACGTTCCTCCTGTGGAGGGGGAGACTGTCCCATATTTTGTCCCTGATTCCTTCTGGCAATCCCTTCTGCCCTGGATTCATCACACTCACCTGTAAGTACCTCCTCAAACCACCCTGCAGGGGACAGTTGGAGAGCTGTGTTCCTGCTCCAGCTGAAAGGGCCTGGCTTTGCTGGTGCCAGCTCCCTGTCACCCTCAGGCAGTGCTGCCATGGGATGGGACATCTCCAGTGCCAGGCTCACTCCCTGGGATGCTGCAGGGATAACTCCAGAGCTTGGACTGGAGTCCACTGTGGTGTAGACCCCCAGAATTCCCCCTGAACAGCTCCCCAGGCTTTCCGGGAGAACAAGGCTCTGTAATCCCAAAGCAACTTCTTCTGTGTGGAGTCAGGTGGCTTGGAGTGGCTTTCAGTGGTTTTCATTAAATGAGGCTTTCCCTCATCCATACTCCTCTGGGAAGTGGGATGCACAACCACAGCTGCTCATCTCATGCTCCCAGTGCTTTCCCACAGTGCTTTCCCACGAACCCCCCTCCCCTCAGACTGGTGTCACTGGGTACCAGCAGCAGGAAGGATTTACTTTGTAGAAAGCCACCCAAAAGAGAGGTGATAAATTAAATTAATTAATTAATTAAGTGCAGCTCTGAGGAACATAGGGGAGAATGGCTTTAAGCTGCCAGAGAGTAAGTTTAGATGGATATTGGGAAGGAGGTGGTGAGGCCCTGGCACAGGTTGCCCAGAGAAGCTGTGGCTGCTCCATCCCTGGAAGTGTCCAAGGCCAGGTTGGACGGGGCTTGGAGCACCCTCGGGTGTCCCTGTGGGCCGGGGTCTCCGTGGACCCCCACACTGGGGAGGTGGAGGAGCCTCAGAGCTGCCCAGAGCTCCCACGGCAATGGAAAAGCCTCCCTATTGCCCTTGAGGGGTGAGGCTGCAGAAACCCTGTGGCTGCAGAAAAATGTCAGCAATTTCTGTCATTTCCCGTGGTCTGGCTGGTGGGAAGCAGGGAAAGGTGCCAAGTGCATCCTGCCCCGGGAGCCAGGCCGCTGTGTCCCCCAGGACACCCCATCCCAAACCAAAGAGCCTCTTGGCCGTGTTGTGCAGCTGGGGTGGGGCTGAGGGGCACTAGAAAAGCTGGGAGCAGCACTATCTTCACTGCTTTTTCCCCCCCCAGTCTTACTGGATGTTAAAATCCAGGGAAAAATAAAATCAACGCTAAAAAACAGTCCCCGGATGGGAGCAGAAAGCACCAGCTCTGGAGAGGGTTGTGTGGGTGCTCAGTGATGCTGAGTGGGAGATGTTTGTACCCCCAAGGGATTTTGGATGCTTCTTTTCCCAAATATTTGAAGGGTTTGCTGGAAAAGTTCAGCCTGGGGCTCTGGGGAACTCGGGGAGGGGAGTGAGGGTTGGCCCTGCCTCAGTTTCCCCTCCCGGGAGGTGCCCCAGCCCCAGCTCTGAGCCTTCCAAACGGGCTGGGATGTGGAGTTCTCCATCTCCTGGGAAGGGGAGCTGGGCTGGAGGCTCTGCCCAGGTCAAGGATCCAGTTAAGGGGCAGTAAGAGGGGACGTTGTCCCTGATTGACCCTTCCCTTGGGAAAGTTTGGGAGAACCAGTGGCGATGCTGCAGCCCCTCCAGCTCTTTCCTCTGCACCAAAGCCGTTGCTCCAAAGAGCTTTGGCTCCTAATTCCCTCTGAAAATCATCTCCTTGCTGCAGGCTCCGTATTCCTGAAGCACAGGTGGATAAACAAGTCGCTGTCCCACCCACCTGGGCTGGTTTGGTAGGAAGGGGGGGCCTTTTCCTGGATTTCTCTCGGTGATCCCAGAGTGGCCTCTGCTGGACACTCCAGTCCTGGCCCTGCATATCCTTTCTCCAAGGGAAGATAAAGAGCAGGAAGACAAAGTAGTCGAGGCTAAGGAGAGTGAAGGGCAAAAAGGAGAGGAAGAGGAGGAGGATACCCACTTTCTGCAGCAGTTTCACTTTGGCAAAAAGCCTTAAATCTTTTTTTTTTAAAGATCTTCCCAAAATCAAAGAAATCAGGGAATGGGCATTTTGATTCTTTTTTACTTTCAGCTCTTCTTCCCCTCAGTGAGAGGCTTTGAGCTGCAACTGGGATATTTTTGTGGGGTTTTTTTTCTCTTAATTCTGGTCATCTGACCTGACATCAAAGGGTTTCCCCTTGTCCCTGCAGAGAAAGTCACCGGATCACTCCCGAGGGAACTCCGAGAACTTCTCCTCAAGGACATCCCAAAGTGGTTTTGTTCTGCATCCAACAGCTGCTGGAAGCTCAGAGGGGACTAAACCCACCACGGGTGGGGCTGTGCCAAAAGGTCTCCTTTCCAGAGGCACTGCTGCCCCCTGGGCTCCAGCCAGGACAGGGGACACCCGGAGCTGGCACTTGAGGAACCTGTGGAGCTGCAGGAGCTGCACTTGAAAAGCAGCTCAGCCCTCAAGGCCCAAAAAAGGGTTTCCTTCTTTTTGCTGCAGGAAGGAGGAGGGCGGGGAAAGGCATGTTTGGGAACAGTCACAGCTTGCTTGGATCTGCCCCAGCAAAGCAGGGACCATGTCCCCCCCTCCCCGAGGTAATCCAGGCTGGGAGCATTCCCAGGGAAAACAATCTGCTCCCTTTGTTCAGGCTGCTTTTGGAACACCAAGACCTGGCTGGGGGGATCTGGGATTTGGTTGATGATTTGCTTTTATCATCCTAAGGAATCAGATCCAATGGAATCTTTATCCTTCCCTTAATAGAGAGGGAATTGCTGCCAGGAGCACTTGCAGGGCCCTGTCAGAGCAGAGCTGGGTGACAGTGGCTCTCTCATTGCTGCAGGAAGGAGGAGGGCAGGGCAAAGCCCTGGACAGGCTGGGGGTGCCATGGGTGTCCCTGAGATTTGGGGCACAGGCTGAGGAAGCTTGAACTTCACAGCTTCCTCCAAGTTCTTGCTTTTTCAAACAGCAGCATCAGGACACCTGGACTGGGATAGCCCAGTTTGGAGCCCTGGATATGAACCTGGGAACTGTGGCAGCCTCGGGATGTCACCTCTCAGCAAGGACCAGTGACACGGGAATGCTGACAAGGGGAGGTTGTGGATCCAAGCGGCTTCAGTCTTTCCCTTCTCCAGCTCTTTCTCCATGATCAAAGTGTCCACCCCCCTCTCTCTCAAGACAGAAAACACCAGAGCCGTTATTTTTAGTATTTGGGGTTTATTTAAAGGGCTGGGGTTTGGGTTTTTGCCTGAGCATCACTCCACAAGAATCAATCAGTTGGAGTTTATAACAGGTGAGCTCCAGCCACAGCACTGAGCAGGAGGAAGTTGGGGGGAAACACAGTGGTTTTCCAGCAGCTTCCCTGTCAAAACCCTTGGTTTTGTTCAGGATATTGTAAACACTCCCCCCAACCCCATTGGAAGCTTAGTTTTCATGACATGCATTGTCAGTGCATAACATTTGCCTCTTCTACAACAGCAACTACACAAAAGATCTCAGAGTGTTTGATAAACCTGACACTAGATGGTTCTCCTAAAACCCTGGAAGACTTCCAAAATCCCTGTATGTCCCTGTTGCATGGAGAGGTGAAAACAAAAAGTCCCTCTGAGGCCTCTGTACGCCAAGAGGTGGAAACCAGGAGCCTTGGATTTCCCACCCGGCCGTGAAGTGTCTGAGCGTGAAAAGCAATTTCCCCACAAGGTATTTTGAAACAACAGATTCTTAATTAAAGGCAAAAAATTATCTCAGTGCAACAACCCCTCTCGTGGTGCTATTTTAAAGGATCCCTATTATTGCTGGACTGAAAATCAGTGTTTATTGCAGTGAAATCTGAGCTGTTCTCTGATCCTTGAGGCCCAGAGCAGAGGATTTATTTCCCACCACGGGTGTCACCTGCTGGTGGGACTCGGAGTCACCTGCTAGTGGGTCTTGGATTTGGCTGCTTTCTTCGTCCTTCCCTTCTTGCCACAGAACCTGCGGCAGCAGCACAGGCAGCACTTGAAGGAGATGAAGAGGGAGAGGAGCAGCACGAGCAGGAGGAAGCCCAGGACGTCCAGGGAGTGGTACTGCACCCAGTTGAGGTCGTGGGCAGCGGGCCTGAGGTGGGGGGCCCCTTTGTGCCTCATCACAAACTCCACCCAGTGCACAGCCAGGTCCAGGGGGTGGATGGGCCTGTCCAGGTGAAGGTCTGAGAGGCGCTGGATGTTCTCCTTGTACCTGCCAGGGGAAGTTTTCAGTCACGGAATGGTTTGGGTTGGAAAGGACCACAGAGCTCATCCCATCCCACCCCCTGCCATGGGCAGGGACACCTCCCACTAGCCCAGGTTGCTCCAAGTCCCGTCCAACCTGGCCTTGGACACTCCCAGGGATGGAGAAGCCACAGCTTCTCTGGACTCCACTGGACTTGTGCTTCTGAGACTGAGCCCCCCGAAATGAGGGTATGCAGATTCAGTTGTCTGGTGGCCCCTGGGGGCTCCTCTGATGGTGTTTCCCCCCCCCACTCCCACCCCTTGAAGAGGAGGATGGCAAAGTTATAGGCCCAGACAGTGCTGTTTTCAATGCTAATAAAAGAGGGGAAGGTATCAGGAAATAAGGAAAAGCTTAGTTTGAACTCTCAGCAAAATCTCTGGGGTGAAGGTCTCTGGCTGAAATGGCAGACTGAGGTAGAAAAGCTGTCCAGCTTTTCAAGATCAAGCTGCTGCATCATCATAATTATTGTTATTACCATTATATTATTATTATATTATTATTATTATTATCATTATATTATCATTATTATTGCTGTCAGAACAGTGGTTAGGAAGCACTGTCAGTAAGGTGCTATTTCTCAGCAACACGATGGAGGAGAGGATACCAAGGACTAAGAAACTGGGAATGGGAGGAGGGAAGAGCTCTTATGTCTTTGAGCTCCTTTCCTCTGTGATGCCTTAAAACTCCCTGGCCATGCTGACTGCAATCCTGGGATCTTCCCTGTCCTTCCCCAGTGCATCCCTGCATGTTCCTCCTGCTCTGTGCTGGAATTGCCCAGCCTGCAGCTCTCTGTGCTCACACAGCTCCTGAGGAACTCCAGGGAGGGGAAAAAAGGAGTGAGAAAACTGTAAAATAAACGAGTGGTAACAGCTCTGTTTGGTGAACCCTGCCAGCTGGAAAGCAGAGTTCCTAAAGGAATACAGCCTCTGGAATACTCCAGGGCACCACCACTTGCCTCCAGCATCTCTGGGCAAGCCTCATGCAAAGAAAATCAACCATTCCACCTTTCCAGGCTCTCCTCTGACTTGTGTCACCACTGGGTTGGGAAATAAAACCTGTTTGCCACCTATTGCCTTTCCTGCCATGCTGTGTCCAAGCCCCCTTTGCCTGGGAAATTTGGATTTAAGGAGGTGACATTTTGGTCAATAGAATAAGTATTCCATTGCATTTATACCACATCTTCTCTGATCCCTGCATCCCCTGATCCCTGCATCCTGCAATCCCTGCATCCTCCGATCCCTGAATCCTCTGAACCTGCATCCTCCCACTACTGCATCCTGCAATCCCTGCATCCTCTGAACCTTCATCCTCTAAACCTGAATACTCCAATCCCTGCATCCTCCCATCCCTGCATCCTGCAATCCCTGCATCCTCCAAACCTTCATCCTCTAAACCTGAATCCTCCAATCCCTGCATCCTCCAAATCTGCATCCTCCCATTCCTGCATCCTCCAAACCTGCATCCTCCAATCCTTGCATCCTCTAAACCTGCATCATCCCATCCCTGCATCCTCCAAATCTGCATCCTCCCATCCCTACATCCTCAAATCCCTGCATCCTCCTATCCCTGCATCCTCCTATCCCTGCATCCTCCTATCCCTGCATCCTCCTATCCCTGAATCCTCTAAACTTGCATCCTCCCATCCCTGCATCCTCCAAATCTGCATCCTCCAATCCTTGCATCCTCTAAAGCTGCATCCTCCAAAGCTGCATCCTCCCATCCCTGCATCCTCCAAATCTGCATCCTCCCATTCCTGCATCCTCTAAAGCTGCATCCTCCCATCCCTGCATCCTGGCAGTCCCCGGCAGTGCCACACAGCTGCGCAGGCAGGAAGGCCGCGCTCCTGTCACTCACTTTTTGTCATTAATGACGGCTCTCAGGGCGGTGGAGATGTCCTGGGAGGTCATTTCCAGGATGTTCAGGGTCAGTCCTGCTCCCCTGGACTCCACTCTCTTGGCATTGTCCATCTGGTCTCCAAACAGGGGCATCAGCACCATGGGCACTGCGTTGCAAATGCCCTCATAGATCCCGTGGGAGCCCCCGTGGGTGATGAAGGCTCGAGTCTTGGGGTGGGCTGTGGAGGCAAACACAGGCTGGGGGTTACACAAAACCTGCCCAAAAGACAGCCCTGGTTGCTGTAAATCAAGACCTTTGGGCTGTTGGGGGTATAAATCAAGAGCTTTCAGCTGTCCATTCCTTATGGACTGAGGGGAGAGAACGGGGGGTTGAAGGAACCCGGAGTTGGAGAGCTCTGTCTTGGTTGGGGTCATCACTGGAAAATCCTCCAAGGACTTTAGGATTAAATCAGAGCCAGGAGGGGTTAAAGTGGATGTTGCCATTGAACTACTTTTTTACCAGGGTTAGGTTGGATCTCAGGAAAATATTCTTTCCCCAGAGGGTGATCAGGCACTGACCAGGCTCCCCAGGGAATGGTTGTGGCAACAAGCCTGTCTGAGTCTGGACAACGCTCTTGGGCACATGGAGGGATTGTTGGGGTGTCCTGTGCAGGGCCAGGAGCTGGACTGGATGATCCTGATGGGATCTCAGCATATTCTGTGATTCTCTGATTTGCTGGTTGTGAAGATCTCCCACAGCTGAGCCTGTTGTCTCACCAACAGATGCTCTCCTGGCAACATCACATACAACTTCACCACTTTGCAAAGCCCAAAGACCTGTCTGGAAATGCACACTTGGGGACCCTAAATTTGCTTTTCAGCCCAGCAGGCATGACAAAAACACAGCTGGGTGTCGAGACTGGTTAGTGAGAGATAAAGACTCCTGTTTTGGACTGGGAGTTTTGGGAACTCTTTCCATCAGAGCTGTTCCATAATTCAGCAGTTCTGAAGATGCACTTTCTCAAAGGCAAGCTCTGGCTCCAGCAGCAAAGGCTGCAAGGATGGTCTGTGACCCACAGGGACAGGGTCAGCTGGTGGTGTCTCCCAGCAAGGCCTGTGACCCACAGATGATGCTCATGGGGTTTACAACAGTAGAAGAGTGGAAGAGTAAAAGAGTAAAAGAAACCCCCTGGTGCCTCTCGAGGCTCCTCAGACCTACCCAGGAGATCGTTCTGCGGCAGCCACTTGACGAGCTTCACGTTCTGGGGCAGGTTGGGGGGCGTCGGGCCCGTGTACCGCCACAAGACCTGCCAGGAGGAGCCAACAGCACGTCAGCTCTCAGCAGGAGAGGGACGGGAGGGCCTGGAAAGAGCCCTGCTGGAAGGGGAAGAGGGAAGTGGTACCGTCTGAGGGACTGTTCCCAAGGCATCCGCGATTTCCATGGCTTTCTTCATGGGGATCTCGGAGACCATGGAGCCCAGCGAGAAGACAACGATGCCATGTTCTCCAGAGGCATTCACAATGGCTTCAAATTCCTGCAAAAAGGAAGCACACCCTTGGTCAAGGTCCTTTCCAGGTCAGATGCTGGAATTGCTGTGGCATTCCCACAAAACTCCCTGGAAAGGCAATAAAATAAGCAGTCAACACAACAAACCAAAAATGTGACACAACACCACAAAATTATGATCAGGAAAATCAGCTACGGGCAGGAAAATGAGTCCTGGGGAAAAAGAAATGGGCGCAGGTGGGTGAACAAAGTCAGGGAGGTGCCTGAACTCAGATTCATGATGCACCTGAGGAAAAACCGGCTTGAAAACAATTGTGTAGCAAAGCCTGTCTGCTCAAAGACATGGTCTGTGACACAAAAATTATGCTGGACCAATTAAGGAGATCAATTCATAGAATCCCAGAATGGTTTGGGTGGGAAGGGACCTCAAAGCCCATCTCATTCCACCCCCTGCCATGGCAGGGACACCTTCCACTCAACCAGGTTGCTCCAAGCCCCATCCAACCTGGCCTTGGATAGATCACCATCATATTTCTCCTGGCAGCCATTCCCCGGGTGGCTCATTTCCACATTTATTGCAAGTTTGGATTTAGAGCTGATGTTCTTCTTTTCAGACCCCAGAGTTGCAAGAGAGAATTAAAATTTTGTACAAGTGTTCTGACAGCTTGAACTCCTCATATCTGGATTTATTGTCTTTGCTTTGAGTAGGATAATATTGAAGTCCTGCCAGGGGTTTGTATCTATTTGGTTTGATTGATTTCAATAACAGAAGGACCAGGAACTCCAGCACTGGAATCCAAGAGCAAAGGGATTCCAATGAAGCACAAAAACAGCCAAAGGCTGGAGCAAAAATTCTTTGCCATAGAAAAATATTTGGCCAAGCCAGGGAAGGAAAGACAAAAGGAAACTGTTGCAGGAATCAGAGTGAAAGAAGTGGAATAAAACGAACTAAAAGTCCATGTAAGTCTGGCAAGTGAAATCTTATCTCCAGGATCTAATGGGATAACCATGGAACCATTTGGGTTGGAAGGGACTTCAAAGATCATCTCATTCCAACCCTCTGCCATGGAGAGGGACAACCAAGACTGACTCTCTTAGTTCTGCTCTTTACCACAGTTTTGAGGCTGTCTAGAGGTATATTTGACCCAATTTATTTCCTGTGGGATCAGTCACATCAGTTTTATTTTGTTTTCTAAATGTTTTTGCATTCCAAGGTCCAACAATCTGCTCGGAAGTGTCATTACTTTTAGGAAAGTTTGCAGCCCTGCTTTGGGAATATTCAGGTTATTTTAGCAGTGTTTTTAATGAGCATCTGCTCATCTCAGTGGGTGCTACTCACCACCTTTATGAAATACCTGCAGTGGACGCTCACTGGAAAATAAGAGAATGAGGAAGATTTCTTAATGCAAAGCAGGAGATATCCCATATTGAGGAAGTTTGGCACAGTTCAAACAAAATACATTTACAGTCCAGAGTATTTCACACAAAAGTGGCAGAAGGGCTGCTTCACTGGTGGGGTGGGTTTCATCCTGAAGTTCATGCAATATCCTGAGCTGGAAGGGACCCACAAGGACCATCCAATCCAACTCCCAGCCCTGCCCGGGACACCCCAACAATCCCACCCTGTCCCTGAGGGTGTTGTCCAAACGCTCCGGGAGCTCTGGCAGCCTTGGAGCCTGTTCCAGTGCCTTCCAGTGCCCTGGGGAGCCTGTTGCAGTGCCTTCCAGAACCTTCTCCGAACACCCAGCCTAAACCTCCCTGACAGCTCCAGCCGTTCCCTCGGGTCCTGTCACTGCTCACAGAGAGCAGAGATCGCTGCTGCCCCTCCACTGCCCCTCATGAGGGAGCCGCAGACAAAAAGAAGGAAAATGGAATGGAAATAGGGAAAATGCGAAAAGGAAAAGCTGTTTTTTTTGGTGCAGCTTTGCCTGGGAATCCAGAGGTGTCCTACAAAGTAACTCCTCGTCTCTCCAGGGCTGGACGCAGAGGTGCCAAGTGCTTGCCCAGCCACTCCCGCCTGACATCACTTATTCCTGCCTGGGAGCTCCATCTCCTGGACAGAACTCTCAGTGCAGGCAGCAGGGAAAGGAGGGAACTAACCCGGGATAACTTGTTTTCCCGAGTGCAGCCGGTGCCCCCGACCAGGACCATGTTGGGCATGAGGGGCCGGGGGAACTCGAACACGAAGTCGTATTTCAGGAGCCAAAGGGCCGCGCGGCTCAACAGCTCCGGCACCGTCGCCTCCCGCCGCAGGAACTCCCTGATCAAAGGATCGTAGGGAGAATAAAGGAAAGAGCAAGCCAGGGAACTGCTCAGGCTGGCCACGAGGTTGCCCAGGCGCTGGAGGAAGCTCATGCGGTCCGTGAGGCGGGTGGAAAACCTGGGAATGTAGGAAGGAGGGCTGGGACAGAGGGTGGCCTGGGAGTCGAGGCTGCAGGGCAGCCCCCGGACGAAGTACACAGAAGGCAGGGAGAGGTGCTCAGCCACTATCTGCCCACAGGGAAAGAAAGGATCCATGAAAACAGCATCGAATCTGCTCTCCTCGAGGTACTGGATCAGCTCTCTGTCAGCCAGGAGACGTTTGCAGGAATCCAAGAACATGGTGGTAAAATTGGCTATTTTCGCGAGTTTTTCCAAGAAGGGCTGGGGTGCGAAGCTCCTGTGGCCCATCTGTCGGAATTCTGCCTCCACATACTCCCTGGTGTAAGACACAGAGTATGTTTTCAGGGTGTAAAGCCCCGACGGGCGGATCCGGAGGTTCGTCTGCGGTGCCACCACCACGAGGTCGTGTCCCCGCTGCCGGAGCCGCTCCACGACCGGGCGCATGCTCAGCCAGTGGCTGCCGTCAATGGGCACCACCAAAAGCTTCCCACCTTCACCAAAGGTCCACAGGAGCAGGCAAAACACAGCCCAGGAGGCAGGAGAATGAAATCCTGGCTTGGAAGGAGCCATTTCCCTCGTGCGGCCAACAGAGTTTTAAATGGCTGCAGGAGGAGGAATGAACCACGGGGGTACTTTGCACTTGAGTTTTAACTGAGGTGGGGTTTAACTTTTAACAGAGAGAAATTGGGGTAATTTTTAACTGTGGGTAAATATTGGGTTTATCTCCCGTGCGTGGTGAAGGCTCTGAGTAACCGGGCACTGCAAGGTGAAGTTGCATGTTTGGATCAACATCAGAGGACTCAAACACTCCAGGAAGGAGTGACAAAGGGAGGAGTGACCAAGGGAGGAGGGACCAAGGGAGGAGGGACCAACAGCATCTTGGGCTGAAAGGCTGAGCAAGAGTCATGAATGGGACTCACCCAGCAATCACTAACATCCAGGTAATGATCAACTCCCTGCCTTGGGTCCGCTCCAGTGACTGGACACAGAACTAGGAACAAGCCTGACCTTTGGATTGCTTTGTGCCCTTGGAGTGTAACCAAGAAGCAAAGATTGACAGAGATTTGATATACAGTGGGTTGTAAAGGTTTATCTGTAGATTTGGTGCTCTATCACAGCAATTATCACAGGGAAAGTCCTGGGTTTACAGTAGTAAAGGTGTCGCAAGCCGAGCAATAACTCCCTGTCTGAAAGGATAAACCACTGACATCTCCCTACCTGCACAGCACGAGGGAGATTTAGACAAGGGAGGGGAGATGGTTACAGTCCTGAAGGCTTCTTTTCCCAATCAGCCTCTTATTTGCTACCTTACACAAATCCAGAGGTAACAGAGCTCCTCCTGTGTCCCTGCACACCCCTGGTTTTGGGGTATTCGTACACATGGAATCCCAGAATATCCTCATTTGGAAGGACCCACAAGGATCACCAGTCCAAATCCTGGCCCTGCCCAGGACACCCCAACAATCCCACCCTGTCCTTGAGGGTGTTGTCCAAACACTCCTGGAGCTCTGGCAGCTTTGGGACTGTGACCAAACCCTGGGGAGCCTGTTCAGTGCCCAACCACCCTCTGGGGGAAGAACCTGAGATCCAGCCTAACCCCCCCGACACAGCTTCATGCTCTGTGGCACTGAGAAGTGCCTGGGTATATCCACAGATTTCCATTTTTTTGTACAATCATCTCCTGTGATTAATTCCACAACTGTCAGGAATATTAAATCACATGACCCTGAATTATTTTGTCATTTCTCTGACACAGAACATGCCCTGAGTGTCCAATATGATGATGATGTGCTTACAACAAGCTAAGCTACACCTACAGGCAGCAACACAGTTCAGGCAACTTGACCTAAGCTCTCCTGGAGAGAAACCCTTCAGGTGTTTGAAGAGCAAGCCTTGTGATCATCTATCAAAGCCTGAAATCCCACTCCCAGGCCATCCCAGGATTCGATCACATACCGGATCAAGACAAGTGTTACAGAACAGCGTCACAGGATATGCTGAGCTGGAAGGATCCACAAGGATCATCCAGCCCAAACGTCAGCCCTGCACAGGCCCATCTGCCTGTGCCCCAGAGGATCATCCAAACCCTGCTGGAGCTCTGGCAGCCTTGGGGCTGTGCCCACTGCCCTGGGGAGCCTGGTCAGTGCCAACCACCCTCTGGGGGAAGAACCTTTTGCTGAGATCCAACCTGACCCTGCCCTGACAGAGTTCCAGCCATTCCCTGGTTCCTGTCCCTGGTCCCCCCAGAGCAGAGCTCAGGGCCTGCCCCTCCTCTGCCCCTTGAGGAAGATGTGACTGCAATGAGGTCTCCCCTCAGCCTCCTCTTCTCCAGCTGAACACACCAAGAGAGCACTTAAACCAGCACATCTTAAATAATCACCAATAAATGCCACAACACCCTCAGGGTAAGCAACGACCAACCTCTGACAATGGCTTCTTCTGCACACAGTTGATGCCTCCAACATAGACCATGTTGGGCATTATGGGGCGCGGGTACTCAAAAACAAAGTCGTATCTCATCAGCATCACCGAGGCTTTGCTGAAGAGCTCCTGCATCGTTACATCTCTCTGCAGAAACTCAGAAGCCAAGTTCCTGTACTCTGTATAGAACAGGTAGCAAAGCACTGGCTCTGAGAGCCCAATCAG